GCAAGTGACACACTTGGATGAGCTGTTCCAGCGAGAGCTGGGCGGTGGTGACGGCTCCCCCCGGGCGGTGGGAGAGAGCGGCCTGAGCCCTGGGCCCTGGGCACAGGAGCTGAAGGGCGGGCAGTGCCAGCAGGCACAGGCCGGTCACCGTGGCTCGGGCAGACGGATAAAGGAGGGTCCCGGCTCTCAGCGGATTTTATAGGCTTTCACGCGCCCAGGCACCCTGGCAGGGACGCTGGCATGCAGGAGGCGGCACCAGCCGGGCGGGGTGGGGTGGGCCGGAGGGCGGCGGGCAGCAGAGTCCGCACGAGTCTTCACTTCCTCCGCACTCTCTGGTGTTCCCTCAGAGTGCTGCTCCCCGAGAGGACGGGCCACTCCTCTCTCCTGGCATCCACCTCCTGTGTCTGGGTGACGCCGCCCTTCTGGCCCCGACCCCAGGCTCAGGTGTGCCCACTTGCCATGCCCGCCCCCACGCCCAGGTGCCCGCCATCAGGCCGCACCGGCCAGCGCCTCCCGCATCAGCACAGCCGGCCGCAGGTGACGGCCACAGCGGTGATGGCGTGAGAAGCCCGAGCAGGTCCCTCGCCTTACGGGCAGACTTAGGGAGACTCGTCTCTTGCTAGTTCCGTCTGACTGCCCCCCGACTTCGGGGCAGAGTCTTACTTGGAACGAAACGGCCGTTTACAGAGGAGGGGCCGGGCGGCCATTCTAGCCTTCCGGTGTTGGACAGCTGGGGAGATGCGGGGGGCTGCCGCGTGGGGGTGCCGCGTCCGGCCACTTCCTCCCACCCTTCACGGGCCGGGATGGTTCCCCTGCCCCGGCCAGAAGCGGCTCCGCTCGCCCTCCCCTGTGGGTCTCCGACTGGCCGCCCCGTCCTCGTCTCAGCGTGCGACCTGTCCGTGTTTTTCCGGTGATGACCCCTGGCTCAGTCTGGAAGTCTGGTGCTGCTGAGTGTCTCACGTCACAATAGAGACACCAGGCGCCGCGGTGCAGGAGTGGGAGCATCAGCAGCAGAGGGAGCACCAGGGGGAGCCCCGGCAGCAGGGGGAGCCCCAGGGGGAGCACCGACAGAAGCGGGAGCACCGGCAGCAGGGGAGCACCAGCAGCAGCGGGAGCACTGGCAGCAGGGGAGCACC